AGGCACTGGCCTGACTTCATGGAACTTATATTCAGTCTGCCGATCTCATCGTACCTACTAGTCACAGAAACACTGACCTTTCACGTTCTCATTCATAACACAACGGCGGTGACTGCCTCCCACAGGTCGCCCTTTTTTTGTTTTAAGACTTGTACAGGATGTTTGTGGCAGTGCTTTGTAAGGGGTAGAGCGCGTCTATACGACGTCGATCCCTGTGCCATCCGCATCTTCTCCTGGCCTTATAGGGTTCTGCACGGAGCATGTCTGCCGTGCTGAAGGCCACGCGTTTGCTCTGGGCGCACATGGTTACGGTCCGCTCCGCTCCTGGGAGGGAGGAACCACGTATTCTTAGGACGGATCCTGTCACCGAAGGTCATCTGGGAGCTTCTGGCCACCGAGACATGCTGACTGTCCTTTGGCTCCATAACTGTCTAAACTGTCAGGACAGGGGCCACAGAAAGTGAAAGTCGGCGGAAAAGAATTTATCTTATTTCTGAACCGTAGGTCATAGTCGTAAAGATATGACCAGTTAGAGAACTGAGTTGGAAGCGTTTTGACCTGAAACATCTAAATAGTTGAACCATGGAGAGAGATTTCTCTTTTTTTTTTTTTTTGCATTTTCTACTGCATAGGCATGAACCCCACCTTAGAGAACCATTTATATAGGACAGCTGCCGGAGCTCTCAGAATGGTCCATGCCCTTGCTGTCCAGCGTCTGCCCTGGAGGCTGTGGGCAATGTTCACTGCGGGTCTAGAACCACAGCAACAGAACTAAACTGCCATCAGCGCACCCTGCTGTGCCTGACGGGGCGCTGGCCCGCTGAGATGGGACAGCACCCCACAATACCACTTTTCACAGGGGAGCATGGGGTAGCAGTTAAAACTATGTTGAGGAACCTGGACTTGACCCCTGACCCTGCACTTGTTCACTGTGTCCTTGGTCACATTTCGTAACCTCACCAGGCCTCCTCGTCTTCTAAGAGGGGGCTGCGGGGCTCTGGCGTTTGACCTCGTCCTATAACTGTTGCTGAGGAGTGCACAGGTCAGCGTGGCTGAGCATAACACCGGGCACATGGTGAATATTCCCCGTGCGCAGGCATTGGTGTGCTTCCAGCCCACCGAAGCGGGCACTGCCAGCCTTGGGCTGTCTGCAACCCAGCGTAGACCTGTGCGCACAAAGAGCCCCAAACCTTCTCGCTGGGCCACTTCTTCCTTTGCTTTGTGGATCCATCTTGATTTCCTGTTTAAAAAAAAAAAAGCGAAAAAGCATAAATGGGCTGAAAACTGTTGTTAAAGTGCTCTTCTTGATGGGGGTGCCAGTAGGACCTCATCTTGCTGAGTCATGAAGTGTTCAAGGTTCTCCTTGGACCTGTTGGCGGAATCAGGAGAAATGCATAATTTTCGAAAGCAAGTGATAAAAGTGGCTAGCCCTTTCTGGTTTCACATGGCAGTTTTGACAGGTCAGCATAGCTCCCAGAGCTCAGAGATCACACAGGTTTCCTTGGCTCGGATGCTCGGAATAGCTCCTGCGGGTGTGAAAGGAGCGTAGGGAGGCCCTAATTGCTCTTTTATGGAGTTTGCTGACATTTATGGATAGCACAAAGGGCTCCTCACAGCTAGACAGTGACTGACTTCATTATCACTGTGTTCAGATGTCTAAAACTTTGTATTTGCTGAGCAAGAAAGGGCTGCTCATCACAGATTAATTAGTGATGGACAGATGAATTCCAGAAGTGCAGTCAGTCTCTCCAGCTTTGTCCGTCTGGAGATGGTGACAAAGGGCACCTCCGTGGTGAGCCCAGAGATGTTGGTCTGTTCTTCCATCTGCCTTACGCATCAGTAGTTCATAGAACGAGCTTCCGACTCTCTGGCTTCTTGTGGTCCACCCTTTTGATCGCCTCTGATTTTAGCTGCAGCCTCTAGCACATTTTCGCAGACTCACTCATGTTGCTCTGGCCTTCCTGCTTCTGCTGTGCCAGGTGTCCAAAAAAAAAAAAACGGCCTTCCTGCTACTGCTGTGCCAGGTGTCCCAAAACAAAACAAAACAAAACAAAACAAATCCACTGCATTTGCAAAAGAATGCTGGGGCCTGTAAGAACAACACACAGAATCAATACCTACATTTCAAAAGAATCCAACTTTTTTTTGTTATTCTTCCGTTATACAGAGTCGAGCGAGGGTGTAGAGAGGGCATTGGAGGAGTGGATTTCAGGACTCAGCACACGCTAGCACAAACGTAGTTTCTCTCTGTAATGCCATGTATTATTGGAGGGCCTCCTTTCCAGCTTTTAAGCCTTCATCGATATGCAGGAAAGAGGTACCAGCTGCACGAGGTTGGAAACTGAAGCCAGTTGCTGGGTTAGAAGTTCGTCCAGCCGTGCGTGATAAGGAGGCATAGAGGCTGCCTCTGGTTCCTGGGTGCTTGGGCGTCTCAGTGCCTGTGGCCGGTGTTCACTCTTAGGCCATTGTCCTGGTTAAGAGGATTGCTTTTGACTCTGTAGACAGAGCATAAATCCATCCTGCTTTAAACCCTCCAACCTCACCACTCATCAGAGGTCCTTAAAGCCTCAAATCCAGAAAAGCCATTCAAGCCCCCTCTCTTAGGGCCTCCGAAACCCCCAGTGTCCAAGTGTCAAGTTCAGAGCTTGCAGGAGTCAAGGTAACTAAATATTGTCGGGGAGGGTGAAGACCTGCCAGGCTCCCGTACACACAGGAATCACAGGGTGTTCCCAATCCAGTCACTTTCTGATTGACTAGAAGACGGAGAAACAATTTTGAAATTCAAAGTGGAGAGACTCACAGATTCGCAGGCAGTAATTAAATGCCATATGTTAGCACTAACACATTGGGAAGTTGTTAATTAATTCAGGCCGCCCCAAATCCAGGTGTGACTTTGACAGGTTATATACCAAGGTGTTAGCACAGACTTGCAGTTTGAGATCTTTGAAAACTGAAGTTTCTATTCCCCCAAACTTAGAATATTAACCCCTTCTTATTTAAACCATGGGATGAGACCTTGAAATGGTCGCTGGTCTGGAGAACCTTCCAGTTCTGCTGCTGCTGTTGATGGCAGTAACCCCACCTGTACAACACTTTGTATACAAAAGCATTTCCCCTCCCTCATTCATTGATTATTCTAAAGAAAAGTAGACTTTTTCCTAAGAGGGCAGGGACCTTTTAATTCTTTTTTTTAATTCCCCTAAGTCACTTAGGCAAATACTATGAACGTGGTAGGTTTATTGAAGCAATCACCATTCTTATAGATTTTTTTTAAAAAATGAGTGAGATACTGCCGAGAATACTTAAGAAAAGCCCACCAAGAAATTTATCAAACATGGGTGAAAAAGTTCAGTGAATTCAAGATAATTATATTTACTTAAAACGTTGACAAAGCTGCTTGGGGTTCCTTAGCATAAGAATCCCAAGAAGAAATTGTATGAATAAATAAATTTTTACTGGAAAATCAGGAAAACTTCAGGGAGAAGAAAGCCGATATGTGTAGTTATCCCCATTCTACCATTAAAGCAAACATCCCAAGCTGTTAAAACCATAGAGCAACCTTGACTGGCAAAAGGCGGCCAACATCCAGCTGCTTTTACCCATGCACACGTGCACACATATGTGCGTGCACACACACACACACACACACACACAGGAATTAGCATTTCTAATAGCATATGGATGGTATAGGTTTCAATTTTTTTTTCTTTGTTAACACTTGTTATTGAAAAAAGTCAAGAATTATCGTCTATCTCCCTGCCTGTC